TATGTGTGTATATATGTGTATATGTATATGTATATATGTGTGTATATGTATATGTATATATGTGTGTATATGTATATGTATATATATGTGTATATGTATATGTATATGTATATGTATATATATGTGTATATGTATATGTATATATGTGTATATGTATATATGTGTATGTATATGTGTATATATATATATATGTGTATGTATATGTATATATGTGTATGTATATGTATATATGTGTGTGTATATGTATATATGTGTATATGTGTATATGTGTATATGTGTATATGTATATATGTGTATATGTGTATATATGTGTATATGTGTATGTATATGTATGTATATGTGTATATATATATATATATGTATATGTATATATATATGTGTATATGTGTATATATACTGTATATGTGTATATGTGTATATATATATATATGTGTATATGTATATATGTGTGTATATATATATGTATATATATGTATATGTATATATGTGTGTATATATATATGTATATATATGTATATGTGTATATATATATATGTATATGTGTATATGTGTATATGTATATATATGTATGTATATATATCAAAGTGTGTTCAGGTGTGAATTTCGTCTTTGTAGGTTCAGATCTACGAGCTGGAGGAGCACAAGATCGAGACGTGGAGAGGTGAGAGGTGTCTATTCTATCTGTTCTATACCTATTCTATCATGACAACACGATCAATACCTGTTCATATCATCTGATCACACAATCAATACCTGTTCGTATCATCTGATCACACGATCAATACATGTTCGTATCATCTGATCACACGATCAATACATGTTCGTATCATCTGATCACACGATCAATACCTGTTTCATATCCATCTGATCACACGATCAATACCTGTTTCATATCCATCTGATCACACGATCAATACCTGTTCGTATCATCTGATCACACGATCAATACCTGTTTCACAGAGCTGTACCTGCAGGAGACCTTCAAACCTCTGGTCCACATCTCACCTGCTGCCAGGTTTGTGTGTGTGTGTGTTTATACAGAGGAGGATTTAGGCTTCATCCACACTAAAATGATCTCCGTCCAGACTAAAACACCTGAAAACAACCATTACGTGACTCCTCACGTACACTGGGCGTGATGGTGCTGATGTAAACAGGAAGTAGATTGGTTTCTTCGTTAAAATAATACGACAGATTAATAAAGTAGTCTTTAATAATGAAAAGTTGTGTTTGATACTCAAGATCTTCTCTAAAATCTTCGTCTATAAACTCAGACAGACACATTTACTGGAAAGTTTTAGAAGTTAGATTTTTCAGACTTAGTTAAAACGCAAAGGTTTGATAACTCCGCTGGACACGCTGCTCACTCCAATAACAGCTGCTAGTAAAGACAACAAGGTCAACAACACCTGTAATCAGTCATGTTGAATTAAGCTGGCAGTCGATCGGTAATCAAGGCTGTTGTTTGTGATTTTACAATAAAGGGTCATGTGATCGGTGACGAATCAGAGAAGGACACGTCGTGACTGCTAAGAACCAATCAAGTAGTGAACACGTCATCGTTTATAAACTCTGACGTAGTGAAGACGCTCAGTGTGAAGGTAGTAAAACGTGTTTTCAAATGGAAATGTAGTCGTGTGGACATCAGACTCTACAGTATCACTGAATAATTTATTACCTGCTGAAAATATACTGAGGAGAGGAAACGAGACGAGGAACTGAGAGGAGAGGAGAAAAGAAGAATTCAGACAATATTGAACAAATATGTAACAAACCTGTGGATCTATATTCATGCCCCCCCCCCTTTCTCTCCCCCCCCCCAGTATCTTTGAAGCCGTGTTTTCTCTGATAAAGAATAAGATCCATCGTCTTCCTGTTATTGATCCGGTCAGCGGGAACGCTCTTTACATCCTGACTCACAAGAGGATCCTGAAGTTCCTCCAGCTGTTTGTGAGTCTTACACATAATAAGTCTTAATAATGTAATGATAGAATACATAACAACAGTCAAAGTTTAATACTTGAACTACATTTACTTAAAAGTCCAATAACTTTTCTAATTAAAACGACTGAAAACAAGATGTTGTGTTCAAACCAGAGAAATGTTTAACTTCATCAAGTTAACGGTGTCTTTGTGTCAGCGTTGTTTGTAGATCAGTTTTTTTTTATTTGACATATTGTGTTTTGAAGTAAAATGTTCAGTGAAGTACTGCTTCAGTAGTACTTTCTATTGTACAGCTTCATAAATGTGTGTTTAGTCGTCCATGTAGATTAACTGTCTGTGATTGTAATAAACAGATTTTAAAGGAAACGTCCAATAAGGGACGAGAGTTTATTTTATCATTTGATTCCAGCAAGGAGGCAAATTAATGTATTCATTCATATTAAATAAAAAGTTCTATACCTTTTCATTAAAGACGGTAGATTTAGTAAAAAATGCTTCCCTCAAGAGTCCTGCTGTGTCCCAGTTCCATACTCGACTATACTGGACTCGACTATACTGGACTCGACTATACTGGACTCGACTATACTGGACTCGACTATACTGGACTCGACTGGACTGGACTGTACTGGACTGTACTGGACTGGACTGTACTGGACTGTATTGGACTGTATTGTTCTGGACTATACTGGACTGTATTGTTCTGGACTGGACTGGACTGTATTATTCTGGACTATACTGGACTGTATTGTTCTGGACTGGACTGGACTGTACTGGAATATACTGGACTGTGCTGGACTGGACTGTATTGTACTGGACTGGACTGGACTGGACTATACTGTACTGGACTGTACTGTACTGGACTACTAGAATCCTCATAGTTTTGTTTAGTTATGAGAGAAAGAAAAGGTGCAGCAGTGCCTCCTTGTGGACAGACAGAGGATTACAGCAGTGTTTCTACGGAGGACTGAGTGAATTAAACTGTGTGTGTGTCTCTCTCGCTGTCTCTCTCTGTCTCTGAGTGGAAGGAGTGCGGAGCTGAAGAAGCGTGGTTTTGAGAGCGATACATAGCGATTTTTCGATCTTTTTCTTCACTGGGTAATGTATATGATAGTGGGGTGTGTAGGGTTCACGGGTTTTTTTGTGTACTTTTAGCTGTTTTTTGGGTCTTTTTTGTGAGCGGATTGCAGCCGGGCAGCGCGTGCTGTCGGCGTGCTAAACGCCAGCATGGGCCTGACCGAGTTAACCAGAGAACACAGCGTGAAGATCCCGCCGCGTTTTGGGTGTTCAGTGGAGGAATGCAGCCTGGCAGTGGGTGCGCTTGTCGGCCACAGCCACGTGAAGTCCGCAGCGCGGATGAACAGCGCTGTGGTCATCTTTCTAGATACCATAGAAACTGCGGAAGTGGTGTTGCAGCACGGGATCGAGGTGGGTGAACACTTCCTGCCCACGTATCCTCTCAGCTCACCGGAAGTGAAAGTCACTGTGTCTAACGTGCCACCATTCATAAGAAACAATGCCATAATCAAAGATCTGTCCAAACATGGGAAAGTGGTGTCTCCGGTTAGGAGAGTGTCCTCTGGCTTTAAGTCTCTTCTGTTAAAGCACATGGTGTCTCACAGGAGATATGTCCTCATGATCCCCAACGACAGGAGCAGAGTGGTCAATCTCAGTTTCAAAATCACTGTAGAGGACTTTGACTATGTAATCTTTGCAAAGACTAATGATTTTAAATGTTACAGCTGTGGAAAAGAAGGACATCTGAGTAGAGCTTGTCCTGGGGAAAATGGCTCAAATAAAGACCAGAACCAGAAAGGTACCGAGGAGGGCAGAGGGGACAAGCAGGACGGACAAGAGAGAACAAGTGGAGCACAGGAGGCGAGGGTGGAGGAGACAAGTGTGGCCCAGGAGGTGAGGGTGGAGGAGACAAATGAGGTACAGGAGGTGAGAGAGGAGAGGGAAAGTGGGGGACAAGAGGTGATGAAGGACGGGGCAAGTGAGGTCCAGCAGGTGAGGGAGAGTACTGGAGGACAGGTGGAGACAGGTAGGGAGGTGGACATGGAAGCAGACGAGGTGCAGCTCAAAGCCCCTCAGCTGAAGAGGAAACAAAGAGGAGACAGCGGAAGCTCACAGAAAGCGGCAACTAAAGAAAGTGGAGGAGCAGCAGACTGAGAGTCCAGTCTGGAGGAGGACTGTGAGTCCAGTCTGGAGGAGGGCGCTGCTGCTGACAGTGAGCCCTCTAAACACGGTGCTGGCAGCTGTAGGAGCTCTGGAGACTACAGCGTGGAGAAGATAAAGGAGTATCTGAAGAGGAGTAAGAATGTGAGAGGAGCCAAAGTGGAGGACTACCTCTGTGATAAAGAGAAGCTCTGCCAGTTCTCACATGAGAAGCAAGGACAGAGGAGGTCTCACGAAGCAGGAAGGCTTCAGACTGAAGAAAATATTTCACAAAGTGAACAAAGAACTGAACAAAGATGGAGCTAAGTGAGAATAAGATCTCACAGTCTTAGTGTATATCAAAGACAAGTTTATGTTTGTTGGACTTTATTTTGTTTAACCATTTTAAATGGTAAAGAAACATGTTGTTCAAAGAAAATAAAGGTTTTCTAAAAAAAAAATGTCTGTGTGTGTGTAGGTGTGTGAGATGCCCATGCCTCTCTTCATGACTCAGACTCTGGAGGACCTCTCTGTGGGGACTTTCACCAACATTGCCTTCATCCACCCCGACACCCCCCTCATCACAGCTCTCTCCGTCTTTGTGCATCGACGCGTCTCCGCTCTGCCCGTCGTCGACTGCAACGGTAACCGTCGGCAACGACACATTACAACAGTGATGTCATGTCAGCAGGCTGTGTGATGGTGTCTTTCATCACTTGTGTGTTTCAGGTAAAGTGGTGGACATCTACTCCAAGTTTGACGTCATTGTGAGTAAAAATATTGTATTCCTGGTGAGAGTTTTGTTCACTGTCTCAAGAAGCGTAAGAAACCTGAGTGTTGTCCGGTTCACAGAACCTGGCGGCAGAGAAGACGTACAACAACCTGGATGTGACGGTGACTCAGGCTCTCAGACACAGATCCCAGTACTTTGAAGGAGTCATGAAGTGCAACAAACTGGAAACACTGGAGACCATCGTGGACCGCATCGTGAAGGCCGAGGTTTGATAAAACAAACATAAACAAACAAATAACCCTCATCTGATACGTTTGATTTATTGATTTATTATGTGAACTATTACTATTAGTATATACTATTAATATATATATATATATTTGTCTGACTGCTGCTGATGTTCAAACACACATACAGTCGGGGCCATAAGTATTTGGACTATTTTTCTAATTTTGCTTATTTACACAACTCCAATGGATTTGAAACTAATCAGTCAACATGTGGTTGAAGTTTAGACTTTCAGCTTTAATTCAATGGATAAAACAAAAAAAATCACAATAACCGTTTAGGAATTGCAGCCATTTTTACTCAGTCACCACATGTTCAGAGGCTCAAAGTAATTGGACAATTGTCTGACAAACGGTTTCATGTGTGGCCTATTCTGTCACTATTTCATGACAAATGATGCAGACAACAGAATCCAAAATGTTATATTTGCAGTTGGTAGCTGGTCTTTGGAACTCTCAGCATGCGGACCAAAAAGGTGTCGATGCAAGTGAAGGACGCCATTGTTTGGTTAAAAAACTGGTTCGATTAGAAAAACTTTATTAAACCCCAGTGGGGAAACTCATTTCCCACCCAAAACTCATACAGACGACACAGTCCACAATGCACAACAGACAAAAACACATTACAAAGGATAAATAACACCAGACAATGCCATATAAAACATGATTGACATCAGAAAGATAAAAACCTTGGTGTATCTTGGTGAAGAAAAACCCTTCATAACATCTACTGAAGTCAAGAAGACTCTGGGGGAGGTAGGCGTGCCATTGTTAAAGTCTACAATCAAGAGACGCCTTCATGAATCTAGATACAGTGGGTTCACAAGAAGGTGAGAACCTCTGGTAACACTGAAGAACAGGAAGGCCCGATTAGACTTTAACAGAAAACATCTGACAAAGACTGACCAGTTTAGGAAACCGATTCTTTGGAGAGATGAAACCAAGATGAACTTGTACCAGAATGATGGAAGAGAAAAGTGTGGAGAAGGAAAGGAATGGCTCATGATACGAAGCAAACCACATCATCTGTTTAACATGGTGGAGGCAGTGCTTTGGATGGACATGTATGGCTGCCAATGGAACTGGTGTTCATTGGTGATGTCACAGCCGATAGAAGCAGCAGGATGAGTTCTGAGGTGTTTAAACTATCTGTTCAGATTCAGCGTAATGCTGCAAAACTGATTGGACGGCGCCTCACAGTGTAGATGGATAACAACCTAAAACATACTGTAAAAACAACCCAAGAGCTTCTTATCCAAGGAATATTCTTCAATGGCCAAGTCAGTCACCTGATCTCAACCCAAGTGAGCAGCTTTTGACTTTCTGAAGATAAAACTGAAGTAGAAAAACCCACAAACAGCAGCAGCTGAAGGAGGCTGCAGTAAAAGGTCTGACAAAGCAATTCAAGGGGGAAAAACTTACCGTTTTTGGTGATGTCTATGGTGCCAGACTTCAGGAATTCATTGACTGCAAAGGATTTTCCTCCAAGTATTAAAAATAATGATTATATTCACAATTATGTTAGTTTGTCCAATTACTTTGAGCCTCTGAACATGTGGTGACTGTGTAAAAGTGGCTGTAATTCCTAAACAGTCATTGTGATGTTTTTGTTTTATCCATTGAATTAAAGCTGAAAGTCTTCAACCTCATGTTGACTGATTAGTTTCAAATCCATTGGAGTCGTGTAAAGAGGCAAAATTAGAAAAATTGTATCATAGTCCAAATACTTATGGCCCTGACTGTATCAATAACTCTGTGTGTGTCTGTGTGTCTGTGTAGGTTCACAGGCTTGTTGTTGTTGATGAAGAGTCTCGTATCGTTGGGATCGTCTCTCTGTCTGATATCCTGCAGGCTCTGGTCCTGATGCCTGCTGGTAATAGTTCTTATTGTTATGACTGTTGTTGTTGTTAGCAGAGCTGACTGTTGATGATGTCTTCTTCTTCTTGAACAATGAGATGTGTGTTTGAATGTTTTATTTAAAGGACCCTTTGATGGAGCTGCTAAGTAACAAAGATGTAATATAATAATGATAATATTATAATAATGATAACAAATGATCATAGTGTAGTGGACTTGAGGACATCATTCACAGGTTCCCTTTAAGGGAAAGAGAGTAACCATGGTGATGCAATGTTAGGTTTGGGGTTAAAGGTTAGAAGGAAGTAAGTGTTTGTTTGTCGTGTTTTTGGAAATAAACAGCGACAGAGGCGTGCAGCCAAAAAGAGAAGTTGCTGTACTTGTTTATTCCGACGCTCCTACATTATGATAATAATGATCGAATCTGCAGCTCGTTGATATCAAATCATTAACATCGTGATGAGATCATAGAGAGCACTGAACTCTGCCTGTCTGTCTGTGCGTCTGTCTGTCTGTCTGTCTGTGCGTCTGTCTGTCTGTCTGTCTGTGCGTCTGTCTGT